TCTTGAGAAGGTATAGAAAAGAATCTTCAAAGCTGATTGTACGAACTGCACAAGTTTTGCCTTTATTGCTCTCACTTCTCTCCCTTCCTCCCTGGGGCTGGGGGGAGGAAGCCCTCCTTGGACAGGATGCCTGCACCTGCTGGCTGCAGCTTGGGCTCAGCTCTTCCTTGTTGTTATTACCAATTTCAGGTGGTTTGGGTGCAGTGAGAAGCTGCTTTGGGCTCCCTGTGTCAGTCTGTGCTTTGAGGCATTGTGGCAGAGCCTCCTGGTGAGGGCTTCCCCTGGCAAACCAAGGCAAAGCAGCTCTCCCCGTTACAGCTTCGTAGACTCACTGAGATTGCAAAAGAGCTCTGAGATTCCCACCCCATCCCACCGTGCCCGCAGAGCACGTCCCCAAGTGTGATGGGACTCCCACTGTGTGCAGCCTGGAGCATCACAGCCTTCCTGTGCAGGAAAGAGCCTTGGTGGACACACATCTGTGTCCTGCACTGCCCTGTGCGTGCAGTGGCCCTCATTCCTGTTGCCTGTTCTTGTGGCAATGTCTCTGCCAAGTGCTGATTTTCTAATGGACTTCCTTGTGCAAATGGATGCACCCATAGCAACCTTCGACACCAGACTGCCTCCAGTGTTTGCTGTTTCCTTTTGGAGTCCATTTCACGGATTTCCCCCCGTGCAATATGGGTTCCTCTTCTGTCCTTTCTGCCATCTGGCCAAAATACAACGTCCTATTCTGCAGTTCTGCCTCGTGCACCAGGTTCTGTCTCCATCTTGTTGCACAGTTGAGTGTAGTTTTGTGCCTCCGAACATGTCTGATTTCTGCTGAGAGCAGCTTGCACTGTGCCTGCATGGCACAGCGTGGATGGAAGCACACACGTTTGAGGGCTTTGATGAACCTCTGGAGAAGAGCCCTGCATCTTTTGTACAAGTGATAGCTGTGTTCCTCTGATTGCCCTCCTCCTCCTGCAGCAGCCTGCATGTCTGCTTCTTTGTGTTCTCAGTTAAAGCCAGGCTTGCTAAGCAGGTGCCATCATCCCTGGATCACTGACTTCTCTGCAGCTGCACAGTGATCCCGAGATGAGCCCCAGAGCAGTTTGGGCTGCAGATTGAAGCACTGAGGCTGGAGCAGATGAGGCGTCCTCCAGCACTGCCTGGGCTGTGGGACCTCCTAGGGTTTTACTGAGCCCTGTGCTTTCCTCTGTGCCAGGACAGGTGCCTGGGTCCCAGCCTGCAGCTGCCGCGTTCAGGAGGCACCTGGGAGCCAAAGGTGCTTCACAACCTGCATGTGCATCATTAGAGAAGCCTCTGCTCTCATGGCAGTAATACAAAATCTTTGTTTTCTGCTCTGTTTTTGGACTCCTGACTCCCTTACCCCTAAATCACACTTTGGCAATGGAGGGAGCTGTCTCAGCCTTGCCTTGCGCGCAGTTACTGTGTGCTGGGGCCTCATCGAAATCTCTCAGATGCTGCAGGTGTCCTTCAGGAGACTGAACTGCAGCTGGGCTGCTGTTGTCAGAGCGTGCTGCTGCAGTTCAGTGCTCAGGAAGCTTTAGCTTTGCAGCCTGTGATGTGACCTGTAACCTCTTGTTTGCTGCTGTGCCACGCGGTGCCTCAGGGACTTTTGTGTTTGGCGCTTTGTAGGTGGGTCTGTGAGCAGCAGAGCGGTCCTGAGCTGCTTTCTTCAGCCCCACTGGTGTGAGGCTGAGATGGGGGCCGTGTTTCCCTTTGCTTTTGGGGTGGGTGTGATTTTGGTGCTGAGAGCAAGCCATCTGAATGTGCACAGTGATGGGTGCTCCTGCGCAGCGCATGGAAATGGGCGATTAATGGGGCAGCGCGCATTGAAGCACTCTCACTGCCCCGTGGCAGAAATCAAAGTGCCTTCCCTGTTGCCAGTGAGCCCTCCAGCACCCTGTCTGCGCCCCACTGCTAACGGCTGGTGCTTGCAGTGAGCAGCTCATGATGAACTCCACTCCACCTCTCCCTGCACGCAGGCTGTGCTCAGCGCTCCTCGGTTCTGCCGAGACCAACGGGAGCAGAGACCTCACGCAGCCCAGAAGAGTCTCTGCCAGGTGTTGCTGCTTTCTTCCCTTGCAAGATGAGTCACTGCTTGCTTTTTTTTCTTTTTTTTTTTAACTCCTCTTATTTTGAATGCTAACAATGTTGGGTTTTTTGGGAATTTTTGTTTTTGTTTTTTTTCGTGGAGATCGTATTCCTTATGAGCCCCTCCTGATTGCAGATGTTCTATGATCACAGGTTCACAGAATCATAGAATGGCCCGGGTTGGAAGCGACCTCAAGGCTCACGAAGCTGCAGCCCTGCAGCCACACGCAGGGCCACCAACCTCCCCATTGCACAGCAGCCCAGGCTGCCCAGGGCCCCGTCCAACCTGGCCTCCAACACCTCCAGGGATGGACGGGGCATCGCAGCCTCTCTGGGCAGCTGTTCCAGCCCCTCCCCGCTCTCACAGCACACAACTTCCCCCTGACATCCAACCTCCAGCTGCCCTCCATCAACTCCAAACCATTTCCCCTCGTCCTGCTGCCATCTCCCCTTTCCAGCTGACTCCCCTCCTGTCTGTAGGCTCCCTTCAGCTCCTGCAGCTGCACTCAGCTCACCCCCAGCTTCTCTTCTCCGTGCTGAACAGCCCAGCTCCCTCAGCCTGTCTTTGTAGTGGAGGTGCTGCTGCTTTGTGGTGTCTTTATGGAGAGCGGGGAGGGGCTGGAACAGCTGCCCAGAGAGGCTGTGATGCCCCGTCCATCCCTGGAGGTGTTGGAGGCCAGGTTGGATGGGGCCCTGGGCAGCCTGGGCTGCTGTGCAATGCGGAGGTTGGTGGCCCTGCACGTGGGGGGGGGGTTGGAACTTCATGATCCTCGAGGTCCCTTCCAACCCGGGCCATTCTGTGATTCTATGATTCTGTGATTAAAGATGTTCAGGCCAATGCCTTTCATCCCCAGTCAGCGTTCAGCACTTCTAGTAAAAGTAACTCTGTGCCTTTATTTCAAGAACCATGCTTGAAGGACACGGGTTGCTTTGGTTTGACAACAGATCTTTGAGAGCAGCGTGGAACTTCCTTGCATTTCCTGCGACTCTCTGCAGTTCCTGATAACTCTTAAAGCCTTCAGTTACTGTGACATGCGCCCATTTCATATTTGCTTCTTTGATTTGATTAAAGTGTTTTCCTACGAGCGGTGATGTAGTACAGAATTAAATGTCTCCTGGTGGTCTGTCATGTCAGGATGACACACAGATCCAGGGCAGCTCCTGTCAGCCCAGCACGTTCAATGTCACCACTGGGAGGGCGGCCGTTCGCCTCTGACTTCAACTTCACTCCCTTGTGTTGTGTTGATGGCAGTGACCGTAGGTTGGAGTCCTGCAGACTCCCACACCTGAATCCACAGCACGTTTTACACGGCCTGGACCATTCCTCTTTCCATCAGCCATCTCTTGTTGCTTCTGGGTTCTCCTTTTGCCCGCCTTGCCCTCTGGGTGCCCTGGATGCAGGGCACGGCGCTGCCGGCAGAAATCCTCCCTCCACGTGGCTGGAACATCAGGGAACAAACACATCGAGTTGCCATGGCAGCAAGAAGGTTTACAGGAGCCTGAAATTGTTGTGCTTTGAACCTAAAATGCTCCTCAGGAAAATATTCCGGGCGCAGCAGTGCTGGGAGCACTCAGGCACTCAGTGATGGAGCCGAGTGTGAGCTCTGAGATTCCCAAACCCAACCCCAACCCATCCCCCCCAACCATGTCCCCCTATGCTGCATCCACAAAGGCTCTCAAGCACCTCCATTGGGGACTCCTCACTGCCCTGGGCAGAAGTTGGATTTGGTGATATTTGTGGGTATTCCAATCTGGGATATTCTGAGTGAGCTGCATGTTGTTGACGATGTGTTCCCCGCTGAAGGATGCCTCACTTGAAGCACACCGAGCTTCAGAATGAAAACAGATTCATTGAGAAAAATGTGTCTTTCCTGACCTGAGGTCTGCATCACTTGGGCTCCACGGTGCACACGTGCCACGGCTGCAGCACAGCGCTTGTCCCTCTGTGGCTGTGTGAAATCCCATCTGCAGTCACCCTCCCTCTGCAGAGCTGCTGGCAGAGGTGGGATTTGGCATCTCCAGGTGGCTTTGTGCAGTCTGCTTCTTCCAGACACTGCCAAGGGTTAGGAAAAGGGTTAAGAAGGGCAGGCTTACCCCCAGAACTGAGGAGTAACTGGTGGCCAGGATCACTGCCAGTGACCATGTGCATATGCCCACCTCTGGGCCAGGCTGTGGACTGCAGGGGGTCCAGCTGGTGGCCCTGACCCTCACCATGGCTTTGGCCCCACTGAGGACTCTTTGGTGCCTCCCCAGATGCTGCCTCTAAACCCTCCTGATACAACTCTTCCACTCCTTGTGCTCCCAGCCCGTGGCTGTTCCCTGGGAGAGAAGCATGCACCGTGTGCCATGCTGAGATGGGAGCTGGAAGCAGATGGAGCTTTGTCTGTTCTGTCTTTTCCTGTGCTCCCATAAGGATGTGCCTCCTCTCCTGGGTGGTGAGGTCCTGGCACTGCTGCCCAGAGTGTGGATGCCCCATCCCCAGAGGTGCTCAAGGCCATGGATGGTTTCTGAGCTGGTGGTGGGCACCGAGCCCACGGCAGGGGTGGGGGGGAAGGGGCTTTGAGTTCCCTTCCAACCCAACCATTCAATGATTCTATGACAATTCCTATCCCACCTCCGCGCTCCTTCTCTGCTACCATCTTCCTGCCCCAGCATGGCATTGAATCACAGAATCATTAAAGCTGGACAAGGCCCCTGAGATCCCCCCAGCCAACCCCAACCCACCCCCACCATGCCCATTGACCGTGTCCCCAGGTGCCATATCTACTCCTTTTCCCGAGCACCTCTGGGGGACGGTGACTCCACCACTTCCCCGAGCTTCCCACCCCAATACCGCACCGCTCACCGCCCGGCTTCGCCCTGCACACCCAATCCCTAACGCCCCTTTCCTGCCTCTTTTGCAGTGCCTTTCAGAGAAACTCCCAGCTACACGAAGCGGAGACGGATCCTCGGTGCCGGCGGCCTCTCCTCCCCTCGAATTCTGCAACGCTCTGCCAGCGACAACAACTTGAAGGCAGAGAGCCGGGCGTCTTACTCTCCGGTGCCCTCCCTGCGCAGCCTCCCCCCCCAGCTGCTGGCCCAGATGCAGGAGGCTGCGGTGGGGGTCGGTGGTGGGGATGGCAGCCTGGCCAGCTCCGGCAGCACCCGCAGCGCCCACAGCCGCTCGCCGTCCCTGCAACGTGTGCAGGAGGAGAAGGAGGTCGACCTGCCCACGCTGCGGAGGAGCAGCCGCGGCAAGGCCAGGTGAGAGCTGGGTGGGCGCAGTGGGACTGGGCTGTGTCGCATTGGCACCCATGGGAGCGGTGGTGAGACACGGGCTGGCACCAGCAAGCGCCGGCAGTGCATGGAGAGGGGACGCTCAGGGCTTGGCATGAGCTCAGTGGGGGGCTGCTTCAATCTTCTCCCCATCCCTCGGTCTAATTTTGCGTCTCGAAAGAGTGGTGAGCACATCGATTCCATGTTGTGCTCGTTGTTGCCATGGCAATGGATGCATCTTGAAAACTAATACTTGGAGGTGGCATACTGCAGAAAAGCTGGCCCTGTGTGCGTCCGAGCCGGCTTCTGGCTGTCGCTGCCTCCTGCATACCTACAGGTGGTTGCTTTCTTGAACCCACTTGGGCCTGGGAGCTGTTGGTGGGCACGGCCACGCTCCCGTTGGTGGATCAGGACTGACACTGTGCTACAGAGATGGCAGTGGCCCATCCGTGTGGCTTTTGTTGTCCTGCTGCGCCCTTGTCACCCAGTGACCGTGAGCAGCACCAACTCCGGCTCTGCTGCTGCTCTGCCTCTGGGTGGAACCGAGGCACCGAGTGCTGATTTTTAGGGCAGAGACCTCCCTGCTAAAATGCTGCTGCAGGGCAGGAGTTGAGGAGAAGGCATCTTGGTGAAGGCTGGGTTCAGGCTTTGCTTCATGAAATCCTCTGTCGGAGAGGCGAACCGCAGCCATGCCTGGTGTAAAGTAACGTGTGCTGGGGGGGGTAATGGGGAGCTCCAACACTGCGTGTGCAGAGCAGGAGGCCGAAGAGTGGGTGCCAGCTGTGGGCTGTCCTTGTGCACGCTGATGAGCAAGCAGGGAATAGGCTTGGGCAGCAAAGAACCCATCTGCAGGTGACAGCTGTTTGCATTAAACACCATGCAGATACATCTTGGAGAGTCTTCGAGGTGATCTGAAGGGATCAGGGAGACAGAAGCATGTCAGTGAATGAAAAATAAGGAGAATAAGTGCAAAATAGAGAGGAACCATAGAATTGAACGACGCCGGTCCTGGGTGGGATTCCTAACGAACACTTTAACCTGGGCAGGTTTGCAGGTTGTTTCCTATGCAGTTGGGGAGCTCTGCTCACTGCGAGCTTCAGAACAAAGTGTGGTGGAACCACATCACTGCAGGAGGTTTGGTGGAGGAAGACGTGGGCACAGCTTGGTGCTGTGGTCGGAAGCTGTGCTGGCACCTGTGAGTGTCTGGGGACAGACTGAGCTCCACGCACACCATGAAAACCATCGCCAGGAGTTTGGTAGCAATGAAAAGATCCTCTGCTCTGAAGAGAGATTTAGGAGAGCGGGATTGTTACCTTAGAAACGACACGGATGGGAGGAAAAAAGTTAAAAATATTGGGAATATGGAACGGCTTGTGAGAGGGAAAACAGGGAACTTCTGATTGTTTCGTGGCATCAAGAAAAAAAAAGAGCATGCAGTGGAATTAATGGCAAGCAAATTCAAAACCAGGATGAGACGGTGCTTTTCCCTGCAGTGAGTCTGGAATTCACTGCCTCGGGAGCTTGCTATGCAAGGGCACAGTGTGATTATAGAAGCATTAGGAGGTCAGAGTGAGGGAAGTCACACTGTGGGCTTTTGTAATCAGTGCTTCTGGAGCTCCTCCTGGAACCGCCGGGAGCCCTGGGGACACACAGAGCAGCTCTGCCCATCCTCTGCCTACTGCCTGGGCTGGGGCATGTGATCCTTCCTGGCCATCTGCATTTAATGATGTGCATCTAAGATGTTTTATTCCATTTTTTTGTGTATTTCTGTATGGATGGCAGCATTCTGAGGTTCTGAGCTTGGGGCAAGTGGAACATGCACAGTGCAGGCGCCGTGCTGAGCGTGGCGGGTGGGCGGTGAGGCTGGGGCAGTGGGATGAAGCCATCCTGGTGATGGGAGGAATGTAGAGCAATGAGTTGAAGCTCAAGACTGGGAGCCCAGGAGGCGTTCACTTGGTGGAGAGAAGGCTGAGGGGAATCCGAGCAGTGCTGAAGGGTGGATGATGGTCAGGAGGAGGGCGCCAGGCTCTGCTCGGTGCGCCCAGCACCAGGACAAGGGGCGGCTTCATCCCATCTGACAAACCTGATGCCATGCTATGAAAAGATGAGCCGCTTAGTGGATGGAGGTGAGGCTGTCGATGTGATCTACCTGGACTTCAGCAGGGCCTTTGACACTGTGACAGAATAACTGGGGTCGGAAAAGACCTTCAGGACCATCTGGTCCCAACCATCAGCTCTGTCCTCAACAACACTCGTGGAGAAGCCGGCTGCCTGCAGTTTGCAGGGGCTGCGCTGCTGGGTGAAACGCTGGCCGGGCACAAAGAGCTGTGGTCAATGCAGGCAAATCCAGGCATCCCCCAGGGCTCAGCACTGGGCTGATGTTCCTGTCGAACATCTTTATTAATGATCTTGATGAGGGCATCGAGTGCACCCTCAGTAAGGCTGCAGACAGGCAGGGAGCGTTGATCTGCCAGAGGGGAGAAAGGCTCTGCAGAGGGAGCTGGACAGACCGGATGGATGGGCCAGGGTTAACTGTGTGAGTTTCAATAGGGCCGAGTGGGGGGTCCTGCATTTTGGGCACAAGAACCCCTACAGGCTTGGGGAGGAGTGGCTGAAAGCTGCCTGATGGAAAGGGAGCTGGGTGTGCTGGTGGGCAGCAGCTGAGTGTGAGCCAGCAGTGTGCGCAGCTGCCAAGAAGCCAACGGCGTCCTGTGTGGGATCAGGAGTGGTGGCAGGAGCAGGGAAGTCGTCCTGCCCTGTGCTCAGCTCTGGGGAGGCCTCACCTCGAGTGCTGGGTTCAGTGTTGGGCACCTCGGTGCAGAAGGGACGTGGAGGGGCTGCAGCGGGGCAGAGAAGGGCAGCAAGGGTTGGGTTGGGGGCTGTTGGGTCTGGGGAAATGGAGGCTGAGGGGAGACCTGATTGCTCTCTGCCAGCATCTGAAAGGTGATGGCAGCAGGGTGAGGTTGGTCTCTTCTGGCTGGTGACAGGACGAGGGGAAATGGCCTCGAGTTGTGCCAGGGGAGGTTGAGGTTGGATCTGAGGAAACGCTTCTGTGCAGAAAGGGCTGCTGAGCAGTGCGATGGGCTGCCAGGGAGGTGGTTGAGCCAGCAGCCCTGGATGTGGTTAAAACCCATCTGGATGTGGTGCTCAGGGCCGTGATTCAGTGGAGGGCTGTTAGAGTTGGGGATGTTTGAGTTGTGGTTGGACCTGATGATCTTTGAGGTCTTTTCCAACCTGAGCAATTCTATGATTCTATGATACTTACCACATCTCCGTGCTCAGTTCCCAGTGATGTTTTCTTTTCCAAGAGGAAAACACTGATAAGTGAAAGCACACCGTGAACACCTGGAGTCCTCTCACATCTCCCCCCCAAAATCTTGCAGGAAAATTGGTGCTGGGTCAGATTTTGATCAGAATTAAATACAAAGAAAAACCCACGGCTGCAGCACGTGTCCCCAAATCCTTTATTCTGAGGGAGGAAACCGCCAGCAAAATTCTGATTGTTTTGCAAATATATTCGGGCTGGCAGACATCATTTAAGGGAAGAATGGTTTAGCTGCAGCATTTCACATTTTCCAGGGGAGATGCTGTGTGCGTGGGCACGGGGCAGAGCTGGGGGTTGATGCACCCCATAGGGTTTGGGGCAGCCTCGCTCTGAGCATCCCCAGTGGTGCTGTGCTGTCCCCTGAGCCCACGGCTGGGAGCTGCCCTGGAGAGGTGTTGGCGGTGCAGACGGCTGCGATCCTCCCCCAATTCCCTGAGCTCTGAGGGTCTGCAAAGCCCCGTGTGTCTGTTTGTACCCACAGCTCTGTCCCAGAGCTGCTCCGGGCAGCAGCGTGGTGCAGGTGCAGCGCAACGCAGCAGCAGATGACGCTGCGTGTTTTTCAGGCTGTGGTTTTGATAGCTGCTAATGCTGCGTTCTGTGAGATGCCTGATGTGTGACTCACATCCCATGTGTGAGAGCCTCCACCTTTTTTTTTTCCTCCCTCAAATCCCACTCCATAACAAGTGTTTCCCTATCTGGATCGTGCTGCGCTTGATGTCTCCTGCACGGATGGAGCACCTTCAGCTTACCAGGGTCTGCTTAAACCCAAACCTTGTGCTTTCCCAGCCTTTCCCATGCTTTTGGGACACGTTCTGTATCGTGTGATCCTTCAAAGATGAGCTTGAGTGTTCTTAGATTGCTTCAATCCACCCTTAAACTTCTCACTTAGATGTGCAGTCAGGCTCACCCCGACATTAATTAGTTCCCATTGCTGGTTTCCAGGTGAGCTCTTTCCTCTCAGCCCCTGCAGAGGTGCATTCCATCTCACACTGATCTTTGTATTAAAGGCTGATTCAGTGGTGAGCAGACATTAAGTTGGTCTCCTTAGTTTCATCCATTGGAAGCTTTCTCTCTCTGCAGTTACCCAAAAGAGCACCAACCATTTCCAGCTATTTGGGATCTTTTCTTGCTGTCAGTGAATTTGCAGAATGCTTTCTTGTTTGCTTTGCTTCTCGCTGCAGTGGCACTTCTTGTGATTGTGCCTTCTGGATTTTTCTATCTGGTGTGTGTATGTGTGTTTTGCCCACAGCAATCACTGCTGCTTTTCAGTTTCTGTAGTGTTTGAAGCCTCCCCTCCAGCCTGCCCTCCCTCCAGCCTTTCTTCCCTCTCTCCCATCTTCCCTTCCTGCCTTCCTTCCTTCCCTCCTACCTTCCTTCCCTCCTGCCTCCCTCTTTTCCCTCCTGCCTTCCCTCCCTTCTGCCTTTCCTCCCTCCTCCTTTCCCTCCTGCCTTCCCTCCCTTCTGCCTTTCCTTCCTCCTGCTTTTCCATCTGCCTTCCCTCCTTCCTCCCCTCCCTCTCTCCCGCCTTCCTTCCCTCCCATCCCATCCACCTTCCCTCCTCCCCACCTTCCCTTCATCCTTCCCTCCCTCGGGTGAACACTTCCCGCTTTGTGGCCATCCCCTCCAACTTTGCCTTCATGTTCTCAGCCTCTTGGAATCGGAG